CGTAGAATCGCCTTACTATTGGTTTCCTTATTAAGAGAGGGAAGGAGATGATTAGAGGATTGTAGGATGCAAGAGAATCAAAGATCATCGAAAGTTTTCTACCTGTCGACGAAGAGGGCCCCATGCCGTCCTGACTCTCCTGTCCGCTCTCAGAACTGGTCGGTCCACCTTGATGATGATTATGATGGGGGCTGCTTCCGCTTCCATTATGATCGTTTCCACTGTCCTCTCCGCCTGACTTGAGGTGTTCCGCTGCTTCGATTGACTTCCGGTGCATCCCTGCGGGGCCACAGTCAATCAGTTCTTGATTATTTTCGATATCTTGACTAAAGCTGCTCGTCTTAGATGATTGAGCTGACAGAGACGAACATAAAAAAACAAAGTCGAGACTTGTATATTTTCTGCGAGGGCGGGGCACGTTCTTCATTAAGCATTGCTTTCCCCTTCAACAGTTTTTTTTTTCTTTTCTTTTTCTTTCTTTTTTTTTTTTTTTACTTTTAACGAAAACGGATAAAGGATACGAATGATGAAAATATCTAGCTCCTCGAACGTCGCGTTTTATTATATAAGTACCTACGCTCTCGTTTCTTAAAGATGGGAGGGGAAAAAAAAAATTCTAAGAAATCGTCTACGAAGTTAGCAAAACTTAATGCTTATCTCGCTCGGAATGTTTCAATGATTCTCACCTAGCAACCATGGCGCCACCGACTCGTTCTCCTTGGCACTCTTCAATATGGTCTCCGGAAGCGGTAGCGAGTGCCGCACCATAGCTCCGTACAGGCCGTATTCCGCCATTATGGTACTTCTGCCCCAACACTTCTCAGTTTTGCGCCATTTTGCTCTTCGATTTTGAAACCAGACCTGAAACGACACGGAAATTTCCCAAGATTTATAGCTAAACCATTCACCGTCCCTAAAACTTCCTTCTCGATTCACAACGTAACAATAATTTAACAGCAATCGAAGCGACGCTCGAGAAAATAAGAAACTTCCAAAGGGAACGGCGTAAAAGTCACGTCAAGCGGAAGATCGGTTACATTGGGAAAACCGTTGCAAAGTTTCGCGACGCTTCCAAATCCCCCTGAACCTTGCCGCCCATATTTTTAGACCCACTTGTCTCGTTTAATGATCATTGTCTTCTAATTGGAACGTTAGGAGCGCGACGTGCGATCAGTTTCATGCGTGCGGTTCCACGGTAGTCCGTAGTTAACTATTCCGCTTAAACGATCAACTTGGAGTTCGTTATCCTGTTTTTCGCGGTTCGGCATCCTGTTAGACTACTTGTTAACGATTCTGATCACCGGACCACCTAGGGAGGAGTCGCGTGTCGCCTCCTCCGGTCACGCTTCCATCCCCGGACGAGTTTCAACTTTAACGAGCTCGATTTCCAACAAGTTTCGCGCATTACCCACCCTCGACTTAGGCGAGTAAACTAATCGTAACCGAGAAATTAGTAATTGCGTTTCCCCGTTGCGCGAAATCCACGCACGTTTTCTCGCTTAATCCACAAACGATGAATTTTTCCCCCTCCCTGCCTGGTTATTTATCGATAACGTTTTTCGTTCGTTGCAATTCGAAACAGTGTTTTTATCGAGCTCTCGATATTGGCAAGTGATATCGAGCAAGTGGAAAATGATATTCTTATGCAATTTGTCGATGGTGGATCGCCTGTTCTGCATCCAGTCCTCTATTGCCTTTTTTAACTTTTACATTCGCGTTATTAACGAATATATAAATATTATTCTCGTTTAAGTCACGAATACCTTAATATTACAGTATACGACGTAATAAATTTGTACTTTACTTTTCTGCATTTAAATGCATTCTCTTTTTTATCCTTATAATTTAAATTAAGAACTTTATATCTATAAAAATTACACTTATTTGAAGTCAAAATAATAAAAGAAAAGAAGGTGCACGCCTTCAAGATTATTCGCTTAAACTCGTTCATTCAATCCGTCAGCAACATTCTTCCCCGTATCCTGATCGTATCGTATACGTGATCGTTCGATCGTTGTACGTTGTTTAAAAAGGCACGCATCATTTGCAAAACGCGCGTACAGACGTGCAGACGTGCACGTGGGGGTGGGCCGGGCCGGAGGCCAGGGCGTGTACCAATTTGTTGCAACAATGCTAAAGTCACCGGCAGAATTGGAACGTAATTCGAATGAATGGGAACGCGTTGCCCTGTCAATTTGCGCCGCCACCCCGAAATTATCTTCCGCCTAGGTTCGAACGAGCGCTGGCCGGGGCCTTTTTCCGCGCCGCTCCCTTCCACGCCACGGAAAAAAATACTCGCGCAAAGGCCGTTATTGTTTCACCTCTAAGGAGAAACGAGCATCCAGACTCCACGTGCATAACACTTTCCAAACAGTTATCGTCGATTCCACTCCACTCGAGAATTTCTCTTTGACACGGTCGATTCGAGAGATTCGATCGTAATAATAATCCGAAACGTGAAAAGAGGAAAAAAAAAAAAAGAAAAAGAAAAAGGGAGACGAG